AGTTTGAAGACAACGCTAACCGTATTACCGCTGGTACTTTGTGGTGGGTGGCCAAAGCAATTTCAAACTATGTCATACAGAACAAATCCAAATCCAAGAGCRACAACAACTAATCTGGTTATTGGCGGAATTTTGTGATTCTTGATTCCTGTAATTTATTTCTTCATTTCATAGAAACAGTTAATAATTCCTCTATTAGATCTACTTCTCTCTGTTCAGTAGTTTTCGAGTCTGTGTCCGTCAAAAGTTTGTGTTCTCCTCTGTACGTGTTGATCGAGTAGTTCTCGGGTCTGTGTCTGTCAGATGTTTGTATCCACATGTCGCCATTTACATAAAATGATATTTTGATTTTGATGCCAATGCCGTTCTCGGGTCGTATAGGTGAAGAAATACGGTTTGAGTACAATTAGGACAAAGTTAGATAACATTGAACACTATCAAATAGAGTTTTTCTTAGATTTAAACTCTATCTGATAGGATCTATCTAGTTAGTTGAGTTCTATCTCAATCTAGATAGAGTTAAATCTCTAGATGGAAATCTATCTCTTAACATGACAGTACCTGATGACGTGGCAATAGGGTTATCCTCAATAATTGTTCGGTTCACATCCCTCCATCGTAATATTAAATAAACTAATAAACTTTAATATAAGCATTATACAGACAGGATGAGATAAAGTTTGGAAAACTAGGTGGCGTTTGATAAATTTTAGAGATTGGGGAACTGATCCAACCCAAACAACTAAAATTTTAAGAGCCTCTTTGAAAAGTTAAAAAACATATATATACTGCTTTTCAGATTTCAAAGGGAAATAATAGCTTTTTATTTTCCCTAAATATATTTATCTACATAAATAATTTTCCAAAAAGCGAACAGCCTAAGTAGAAAATCCACTCACATAATTTTGATAGTTTAATCAGAAATTTGAGAAACTAGGGACATCGAAAAAAACAAAATAAGTTCCGGTTCCCGGGTTTTATGATCCGACCATCCAATCCGGGACCAAGTCTTAATTCAATGTATGTACACGTGATGAATGACGCGAGGCATTATTATTTGCCTAACATAACCATCATCATGTACAAGTTGGGAGCGTCTAATTGTTGGCAGAGATCTGAATTCGGATTTTTTAATAGATTAGTACTCACTATTCGCTTTCGTTGTTACTACATCGCAACTGCTTCCAAATATATTTTTATTTTCTCGATGAAAAATTCAACAAAGACAAGCCTTATCTCCAACGCGTTTTTTCTTTCCGACAAAATCTGAAAAACGCGAGTCGCCGAAGTTGTTGATCAGACGACAAAACAAAGGGAAAATACAAGTCAAAATTAAAAGGGGCACATCACATATTAATTGCACTATTCGCGTATAAAAGGGGCACATATCAAACGAAACTTTACATCCAAAACTTGAACAATTTTCTTTCTTAATTTGTTTCTTTGTCTGAATTATTGCAATTGCATCCTTCCAACGAAGAAAAAGATGATGATCGGACGTGTAGTTAACGAGATGGAGGTAGGCGTGCCTGCTGACGATATTTGGGCTGTGTATAGCTCGCCGGAGCTGCCCAGACTCTTCGTCCAGCTTATGCCCAATGTCTACAAGAAAATTGATATTCTTCAAGGTGATGGAACGGTCGGCACTGTCTTACACATCGAACTCGCCGATGGTATATATGCGCTTTTATATATTTTACCCTTTTTTCTTGTTCTCAGCAAGCATTATTTGATGAATTGAAGGAATTAATTAGAATCTAGAACCCATTTTAAAATATATATATATATATATATATATATATATATATTTTAATTAACCAGGAGCTCTACCCCTCGTGTTCTTAATTTATATATATGATTATTCAATATTTCAGGGATACCGGAGCCACGTACATGGAAGGAGAAGTTCATAAAGATTGATCATCAACACCGGGAGAAGGTAGTCCGACAAATTGAAGGAGGATTTCTTGATATGGGGTTTCGTGTGTTCGATGTTATCTTCAAAATCATAGAGAAAGACGCCTGTTCGTGCATCATTCGATCCACCACTGCTTTCGAGCTCGATGAGAAGTTCGAAAACAACGCTAATCTTATTACTGCTGGTAATTTATGGGGAGCGGCCAAAGCAATTTCAAACTATGTCATTCAGAACAAATCAAAGAGGAGAAACCACTAAGTCCACCGAATTTTATGATTCTTGATTGGCGTCCCTTTAATTCTTGGATACTTTCCTCTGTTTTAAGTACTACTTGAGTCGTCAGTGTGTATCAAGTTTTGTATTCGGTAACAGGATGTTGTTTGTCTATATAAAAATAAAACAGTAACTCAGTGTGTATAAAATGTAATTCAATAATTGATCATCACATGCCTGGAATTCTGGAAATCACAAAAATTTCGGTTGCATATTAAAATATCTAAGTTGAGTGCTTTCTCCGTTAATGCAATTAAATGAGTAGATACATTATTTAAGTGCCTTTTAAATTTCTGCCAATGATTGTTCAGTTCATCTCATAATTTTTAACTCTATCGTACAATTCGGATGAATCTCAACCATAAATGTTAAATTCACGGACCGGATTTTTGTGGTGAATTACAGTGTATTTCAACGTTTAACTTTCGGCCAATGAACAATGAACATGGTGGGGTTCACCCTGTCTATTATTGATGACAAAATAAATAAATAAAATAAAATACCGTCTATTCTACTCCACCCCTTTCTCTCAAAGACATGGAGAAAATGAAAGGACGTCTAATATCAGGCCCATGTACAGCTCATCAAAGCTCAAAGGTAGAGGTAAAACTCAGGCTGAGTTTGATTGTGTTCAAGCTAATAACCCAACCCCAATTCGTGAGTCGACCGAGACGGGATATATACCAACCTTAATAATAATATTGTTATCAAATAAGATTAGATGATTAACATGTGGCTAAGATCGACCAATGTTTTAAAAACTGGGTCGAGAGCTAAACCATTTTCCCTCCGGGTCACAGATCAGTGGTTTAATGGTTTATATATAAGTTTGATTAGGCTTATGAGTTTCAAGTACTGTTTTCAAAATCAGACCGGACTGAAAAAATCGGGAATCGGTTATCTGATCGGTTCTGTTTTCCTTTAAAATTACTTTTTTCCCCAAAACTATTGATTTTGGTCAATAAATCACTGAACTGGCCGGTTAATCGTTCGAACTGTTTAAACAGTTTTGACCATTTTTTTTATTTTTTTATTTTCTTTTATTTTTTGTCAGAACGAACTGATTGTTTGGCTCAAACAGTTGAATCATTCAAACCGATAACCGTACCCCTGAGCGGTTCGATCACCGATTCGTTTTTAAAATCATGGTTTCAAGAGGGGCACATCATATATTAATTGCATTATTCGCGTATATTGCATCATCCCAACGAAGAAAAAGATGATGATCGGCCGTGTAGTTAACGAGATGGAGGTAGGCGTGCCTGCTGATGATATTTGGGCTGTGTATAGCTCGCCGGAGCTGCCCAGACTCTTCGTCCAGCTTATGCCCAATGTCATCAAGAAAATTGATATTCTTCAGGGTGATGGAACGGTCGGCACTGTCTTATACATCGAACTCGCCGACGCTATATATGCGTTTTTAATATATATATATATATATTTCTTAATTAAGCAGGAGCGCTATCCCTCGTGTTCTTAATTTATATATGATTAATCAATATTTCAGGGATGCCGGAGCCACGTACATGGAAGGAAAAGTTCATAAAGATTGATCATCAACACCGGGAGAAGGTGGTCCGACAAATTGAAGGAGGATTTCTTGATATGGGGTTTCGTGTGTTTCATGTTATCTTCAAAATCATAGAGAAAGACGCCTGTTCGTGCATCATTCATCCACCACTGCTTTCGAACTCGATGAGAAATTCGAAAACAACGCTAATCTTATTACTGCTGGTAATTTATGGGGAACGGCCAAAGCAATTTCAAACTATGTCATTCAGAACAAATCAAAGGGGAGAAACCACTAAGTCCACCGAATTTTATGATTCTTGATTCAGTGTGTATAAAATGTAATTCAATAATTGATCATCACATGCCTGGAATTCTGGAAATCACAAAAATTTCGGTTGCATATTAAAATATCCAAGTTGAGTGTTTTCTCCATTAATGCAATTAAATGAGTAGATAGTAGATACATTATATAAGTGCCATTTAAATTTGCGAAAATAACTGCTCAGCCCATTTTAGAATTCTTAACTCTATCGTACACTTCGCATTAATCTTAACCGTAAATTGATGTTAAATTCACAGGCAAGATGCGGTTTATAAGGAAAGACTATTAATAGACTATGGAGGACTATAATTTCAGACTTTTGCGATGGATTGCAGTGTTTTTCAACGTTTAAACTTTCGGCCAATGAACAATGAACATGGTGGGGTTCACCCTGTCTATTATTGACGATAAAATAAAATAAAATCCTGTCTGATGCTGTGCAATTTGGCTGTTTCTAATTGGTGGTGGTTTAGCTTCCTGTAGAGGACGGACGTAGAGAGTCTGCATAGAAAATCAGAGAACTCGGGGGTATTTATCTGGCGAGGTCACTCCGATGTTTAAGTCAGTTTATGCGAGCTGAATGTAATCAAAGAGCAAGAGAGCTAGTAAGCAGTAAAAATGCATGTACCTTTGGGCCCCGAGAGGGAGGCCTTTATATAATGGAGTCCTCGTGGGCTTTACGAAGTAGTTCCGTGATCTTTGCCATGATAGAGTATGTTTCTGTGTTATCTGGAGATAACATTATCAGTTGATAAGGCTAATCACTTCCGCCCGAATTGGACGGGGAGATAATGCTTAGTTGTCGCGAGACGTGATCCCGTGGAATTCGGGAACCGGTAGAGTGATTATCGGGATTATGTTGAGGGTAGATCGGTATACCTGAGATGGTTTCTACCTCGAACTAATGTTCTCGAGCTAAGGGTCGTACACCCCAAACTGAATTTTGAATTGATGTCGCAACCTGGTACCGAGGTGCCCTTAGCTCGGGATGAGTACCGAGGTGCTCTTATCTCGGGATGATTTCAGCTCGAAGGATCCCTAGCTCGGGGTAGTGGAGTATTACTTTGTAAAGAGCTGGCTATGCCAAGTTGTCACCCATGTCGAGTCATGTCCACGTGTCCCCTTATTACGAGGTCGGGCCAAATCACCCTCCATCAATTGCCTCCCACTCCCCGAGCTAGGGGTCCTGACCTGGTGTGGGGAGTTCATGACATGACGGGTGGATTTGGCTCGAATTCTAGGCCGTCCAGTCAGATACTTTGTCAGTCGGACCAGTTCGCTACTCGGCTCAATCAGGGATAACTCGGGTTGCGTACGGTTTACGCGCGGACGTCACGCGATTATAAATTCCGCGGATGCCAAAAAACGTAATAAATTGATTTCAACCTCGGGGGTCGTGCAGCCGGTTTTCTTAAGAGCAGTTGGATCGCCTTGATCTCAACCGTAGATTCTCGAATATAGCGGCTATAAATAGGGGGACCCGAGACATTTTCCCTCGCCATAAGTTCACTAGCCTTCGCTCAGAGGTCGTGCTTAGACTCTTTAGCTCAGGTTTCCCAATTCGCCATTTTCTCAGCTCGATCATTTTTCTGGGTGAGTCTCCCTTAGCTTTTCTTTTTCAATTTAGTTTAGTTCGTAGTTATGTCACAGTTTAGTCTTGATAGTCTTTTAGATGAGCCCGAGGAAGGTACCTCGGCTCAGATCGGTCCTCCTGAGATGGAGTCATCCTGGGAGGCGCGAGAGGCCACGAATAATCCGGCATCTACTTCTCATCGAGGTTAGGCACCAGATAGGTTCGGTCCCTCGACGCTGACTGTGGATAGACTTAGGGCTTTAATAGGTCAATACCACCTCCCGGATGAGTACACCTATAGTCTCCCCATAAGTAATTTCCCTTGGGAACACGATCATAATGAGATCGTAATTTTCGAAGAGCAGCTTGTGGCTGGTCTTCGCTTACCTTTGCACCCCTTGATCATACAGGTCCTGAAGTTCTTCAACATCACCATAAACCAATTACACCCGAACTCCATTCGAAATGTAGTAGGAACGATCTCTCTTTTTTACAAGTATTGTCTACCTCGAGATTTTCTCATCTATCTTGTTCATCAAGAAGAACTCTTCTTGTGACCTTCCCAATTCGGTCCGACCTTACCAACACTGGGCTCAGGCACCATAAATTTGCGAAGAACCAGGTCTCCAACACCGAGATTCTGCTTCTTGACTCTGGTGTTATAGTACCAAGCTACTCTCTGCTGGTAGGCTGCGGTCCTAATATATGCGAGGTCTCGTACCTCTTCAAGTAGGTCGAGGTTGGTGCGTAGCTCGCTCTCATTCGCTTCTTCGTCGTGTGCCTCCAGGCGTAGCGTAGGCACCTCGATCTCAGTTGGGATCACTACCTCTGTGTCGTAAGTGAGGTTGAAGGGAGTCTCAGGCGGTCTTCATTGTGGTCCGATAAGCCCAAAGTACGTTGGGTAGCTCGTGAACCCATAATCCTTTAGCTCGGGCTAATCGTGTCTTCAGTCCGCGGAGGATGGCCCTGTTCGTGACTTCCGCTTGGCCGTTGGCTTGAGGGTGCGCCACCGAGGTGAAATTCTGTTGTATCCCCATGTCTTTGCACCAGTTCTAGAACTTTATGTCTTCGAACTACTTGTTATTGTCAAAGATAAGTACTCAAGGTAGTCCGAAACGACAAACTATATTCCTCTAGAAGAAGTTTTGTATGGTTCGCGCTGTGATCGTCGCAAGAGGTTCGACATCCACCCACTTCGTGAAGTAGTCCACTGCTACCACTAGGAACCTCCTCTGTCCTGTCGCTGGCGGGAAAGGCCCAAGTATGTCGATTCCCCACTGTGCGAAGGGCCATGGGCTGGTGAGGTACTTTAGGTCGGCAGCGGGCTGGTGGTGGATGTTGAAGTTCTTTTGACATTTGTCACATCTTTTGACGAACTCAATCGCATCTGCCTTCATCGTTGGCTAGTAGTAGCCTTGTCATAGTGCTTTTTGGGCGAGAGCCCTGCCCCCCAGGTGTCTGCCGCACAAACCCTCATGAGTTTCGCGGAGTACAAGCTCAGCCTCGAAAGGTCGCAAGCAGCACAGATAAGGGAGCAGGTAGGATCTTCGATGCAGTCGTCCGTCTATGATGACGTATTTGGTTGCCTGACGCTCTACCCTTTTGGCGGCATTATGATCTGTAGGGAGGGTCCCATGGAGCAGATAGCTCGCGAGTGGATCAATCCAGTTTGGCTCTGCTTGCGCAATAGGAG